GATGAGGTTACGGAGTCTATAATTTGCTCATCGGTCAACATTTCTCTTGTAAGAATGCCATTATCAATGCTCACATATTCGAAGAAATTGAAATCGCTCAATTTGGTTTTAACTTGTTTTTCGACAAAATTGTGCACATCTTCATCTGAGTTTGTTGAGCTGTTGTCGAGAGTGGAAGTTCGTTATAACCAGTAAAAAAATACGTTGGCTTTTATGGATGACGTTCCAATCAAGGAGAAAAGTTCGTTTTAACCGAAAGTTCACAATAACCGGGTTTATTATAAGCGGACTTTACTGTAATTAAAAAATTAAAAATAAACAACTAATTGTTAATTTTTATAATACCTGTTAAAGTTAATATAATATTCTATTTGTTCTTAACATTTTTAAATTTTTGAATGCCGATTATTTAGTTTACTTTTGTAATGTTCAATAAAATTAATAACTTTACGGTTACTACTTTAATATATCCATCTTAGCCATCTTGACTAATATAAAATGAGTTTTTTGCATTAAAAAACGGAACTCTCGTATTAGGTACCTACGATGCGAAAATTTCAATTTTATTACAGCAGTAGAAAATGAAACTGCTGTACTGGCATTCTAATGTTTATTATTAATATAAAAAATATATTCTTTCTGTATTTTTTTCAGAGCTTTTCGCAGGACTGTTCGACGAGTAATTGGAATAATTAGAACAGAAAGACCACGACCACCACCGCCACCACCGCCGATAGAACAGGCTCATGTTGTAGTAAGTGGTCCATTCAGCCACCATAACCTGATAAAGTTACTGAGAACTTCTTCGCCTGAAATTACACTCTTGAGCGAAGAAACGGTGTTTGCTAGTGATCCCGCCGTACATCCACTTAAGTACTTCCTGCGAGTCCAGTTGTTCGAACCAGTTCGTGGCCAACAAAGGGTTAAAACTCTGGACGTAGTAGCAAAAGTGTTGGGGGTTAATAAACGCGAATTTGATGAGCATAGGGCAATCATTTGCTTCAAAATGGAAAAGGAAGTTAGGATGTATTCAAACGTGGTACAATCATATGACCAGTATTATATGACAAGCATTTTTTTTGATCAAAAATATTCGGAGCTTTTTCCGCTTTGTTATGGGGCCGCCCTCAGTTTGGAAAATAACTTTGCCGAAACGGTTGATCAGACAGCAAGCATCTTGATACAGAACTTAGGTCCCTTGGGATATGAGAGATTCAGGGAACCTTGTAACTTCGAGATGGCTAAACTGATAATCAAACGTTTGGCCCAACTCCATGCTACCCCTATAGCAATCTCCTTGCAAACCAGAATATCTGCACTATCAACATACAATAATCAGTTGCACATAAGGACGCGTTGTGAGAAAAGAGACTACGGTGAAGAGTTGAGGAGAATATGTTTGGTAATTACGCCTGAGTCAGATATGTATCGTTATATCAACGTGATTGAGAATCACTTGCTGAGGTATGGTTACTTTGATAATAGAAGCTATTCTTTGCTAGTTGATTTATGGAATACCATAGCCCACGGTAAATGTTCCATACGTAATATGATGTACAAACCTGCAGATCATAATGGCCCTGCAAACGTAAAATTTTTGGATCCTGGACATATGGAAGTGGATTCATGTGCTGGTGATTTAGTATATTTCATGTTTACAAGTATAGATACAGATGTTTTAGAAGAGTATTTTGAAAATATTTTGGACTGTTACTACACGGAATTTTCTCGTTGCTTGGCGCTTGCTTATGTCAACGCCGAAAATCATACCTATCTTAATTTCCGAAATGAGTTTTTAAAAATATGCATGAGCAGTGTAGGTGGAATTTTATTCGAAATAGGTCGCCTTCATTTTGACAACAATGAAGGATTGGAAAGTATTATGGGAATATCTTATAGAGTTAAAATAGATCGAGTTATTAGGTTAATGATCTATAAATGCATGATTCAACTGTGATC